CTTAGCCACGTTGCCCGTGGCAGGCGGCGTCGTCTCCTTGGCCGCGTTGTCCTTGCCCGGCGGCGTCGTCTTCTTAGCGGCATTGCCCGTGGCAGGCGTGGGGGCCTTCACCGCCTCGGCGTTCTTTTTCGTCTTGACCGCCTTCGCCCTGTTATCCATGGCCGCGACCATGGCCGGAGCCGCCTCCGTCGGGGTCTTCCTCAGAGAGCCTGCGGCGATGCCGACCTTCTCAGCCTTGGGCGGCGGCGTCGCGGCGACGACGTCGAAGTCGGAGTCGGAGTCGAGCTCGATCGGCAGCTCATGCTTATTCTGCTTCTTCGGCGCGCGGCTCTCGCTGGTCGAGGCCGTCTGGGCGGCGGCGGCGCTCAATAACGGCTGACAGTCGGCGGGTTTGCCGCCATCTTGTGCCGCCAGCTGCTGCGTCGACGGCGCATCCGAACTCCCCGCCGCCGTCGAAAGCTGGCGGTTCGAACCTGCTCGTTCTTGCAGCGGCCCCTGCGGCTGCTGCGTCTGCGAGCGGTCGATCAGCTGGATGGCTGGGTTGGGCCAGCGGCCGCCGCTGCGCGAAAGCCCCACCTGAAAATAAGCGGGCCACCGCCGAACGAAAATACCCCCCCCCCCCCCCCCATCCCCCTCCAACCCGGCCCAGGCATCCAGAATTTCACACCGCGCCCTCGATCCAGGCATCCAGAAACGCACCCCGCGCCGATCCAGGAACCCACCCCTCGACCCAATACCAGGTGTCCCGCGGGGGAATGCGTTCTGTTATTCCCTTGTGGAGCCGTCGGCCAGCGCCCAGAGAGCGAGTCGGCCGCCGCGACGGGGAGGTGCTGCTGAGGAGAGCCGCCGCCTGGGCCGTGGGATGGCTGCAGCCCGCCGCGGGCGGGCGCAGGCGCGGGCAGCGCGAGGTGGCCGCTCTTCTTCCCTGCGCGGAGATTTATCAGCTTCGCAATCGTCACCATCTCGACGGAATTTATCTGCGGCGCCGTCGCTCCAACACCTGGCGGGAAGGCGTCGACGCACGTGATGGGGTACTGAGACTGGAGCCTCCCAGGCGCGCTGGGGAGAGCCTGGATGCCATCCCTGGGCGGCGGCATCGTCGCCGCGAGGTTCTTGAGCGAGGATTTCACTGTGACCAGATATGACTGCAACAGCTCCCTCGTGATCTCGCCCGACGCCTGTCTGCTTGCGCGCCAGCAACAAGAATGCTGCCATATTGGCGGCCGTCGGGCAGCTCGGATGCCTCAAGCCAAGCGCCCCGAGGTGCTCTGAGAACGCCGCCATCTTGGCAGTGAAGCCCGAATGCGGCGAGAGCACGAACTCCCACAACTGAGGCGTCAGAAATTCAATGAACCCCTCGTAGTTCTGGAGCTTCCCCCCCTGCAGGCTGCCCGACGACAGAGCCTGCAAGAAGTCTCCCAGCTCGGACTGCGCCCGCCCCGCGCCGCCGCCCAAAGCAGCAAACTGCGCACTCTGGAGCTGCGACCAGCGCTGGGACGTCGCCGCCTGGATGCAGGCAGGAAGGTGCTCCGTCGCACTGCCGCGCGCTACGAACGCCGCCCGCGCCTCCTCCAGGCGGCCTCGAAGGATGCCCTCCATGGCAGCGATGCGGCGCGACCGCGCGCCGAGCGGAGTGCGCGACTCCCCGCGCGCGCACGCCGCCCGAAGCCCTCGGAGGAGGGCTCGCCAAAAACGGCTCGAGCCAATGCGCGTGCGACGGACATATCCTACTCCTGATCTTCCTGCTCCTCCTCCTCCTCCTCCCCCTCCTCCTCCTCCTCCTCCTCCTCCTCCTCCTCCTCCCCCTCCTCCTCCTCCTCCTCCTCCTCCTCCTCCTCCTCTTCCTCCTCTCCCTCCTCTTCCTCCTCCTCCTGGGTGAGGGGGGGCGCAGGGGGGAGAGGGTGTCGAAGGGGGGATGGGGGAGGGGGTGCCGAAGGGTGCGCGGGGGGGAAGAAGAGAGCTATGGGGGAGGGTGAAGTGAAGGAGAGGCCAGGGAGGGGAGGGAGGAGGGGGGTGGGCGGCTTGCCGCCGAGGGGGTGGAGGGAGGCGGCAAAGCAGGCCGCCGATAGGGCGGGGGGGGGAAGGTGGTTTGCCGCCATTAGGAGGAGAAGGCGGTTTGCCGCCAGAGGAGGAGAAGGCGGTTTGCCGCCAGAAGGGGTAGGCGGTTTGCCGCCAGAGGAGGAGAAGGCGGTTTGCCGCCAGAAGGGGTAGGCGGTTTGCCGCCAGAGGAGGAGAAGGCGGTTTGCCGCCAGAAGGGGTAGGCGGTTTGCCGCCAGAGGAGGAGAAGGTGGTTTGCCGCCAGAAGGGGTAGGCGGTTTGCCGCCACGGAGGGGGAGAAGGCGGATTGCCGCCATGGGGGGGGGGGAAGGCGGTTTACCGCCGACGGAGGGCGAGGCGACGGAGGAGAAGGCGGTACGCCGCCGAAGGAAAGGGGGGATAAGGGAGGGCCGAAGACACCTGGATAAACATTTTCCTCCTTCCCTCCCCCCTCCCTGCGGGCATGCGGGGCCGCCCGCAGCACCGCGGCCGCGAGGTAGAGCAAGTACCTGCGGCGCCTCTGTCCTGAACAACTGAAGATTTTTAGGAACAAACACATCGGAAACCCAAGGGATTCCAAAAACAGTTAAACATAAAATATACGCAAATGATTAACAAAAACACGAATATGTTCAGCCCCATCGACTTAGCAGAGATATCTAACTTAGCACGTTACTTACATCAACACTTACAAACACCATAAGTATTGCATATACACACATGAGATGCGCGATCAACAAGTGTACGTTCTATGGCTTAACTAAGATTATGTAAGATGAACGCTCTTACCGCACTTACAGCCACCCGACGATCAAAGTGGGTGCCCGGGTGCCCGGGTGCCCAGGTGCCCAGGTGCCCGGGTGCCCAGGTGTCCGGTAGCCCTGTGGCCCTATAGCCCTAATAGCCCTACAACCCGAATAGCCCAATAGCCCTATAGCCCTATAACCCTATAGCCGTATAGCCCTATAACCTCGTAGCCTTACAACCCTAGTATAACCCTATAGCCTTAGAGCCTTAGAGCCTTAGAGCCCTATAGCCCCAGAGCCTTATAGCCCTATAGCGCTATAACCTTTTAGCCCTACAGCCCTGTAGCCCTATGGCCTTAATAGCCATACAGCCCTATAGCCCGAATCGCCCTATAGCCTCGTAGCCTTATAATATTGTAGCCCTACTGCCCTACAGCCTTAGAGCCCTATAACCCGATAGCCCTATAGCCTTATAGCCATAGCCCTAAAAAAGCCCAAAAAAGAGTATGGGTTGTTTTTTTTTCTCCTCTATCATTATATATATATATATATATATATGTTTCCTCGCCCGCCCTTGCAGACGGAGCTTATGTTTCAGATCTAGTCATGTGCAGGCCAAATTGGTTTTCCGTCGCCATTGTTTTCCAATTGTTCCGCCCTTTCGTTTCCGCGGCGCCCGCCCACTCGCCCCAGGACGAGACCACGAAACAACACGAAAACAACTGTATGGAAAACCAAGCCTGAACATGAAACAGAGCAACAACTCAGCCTCCGAGGATGGGGAATGGAAAAAAGTAACAATTGCATCCCCCCTCCAGATTTCCGAGAACTCCTTGTCGTGGCGGACCCCCAGAGAGATTCCTTTTGCGGCGGGTTGCAAAATGATTCCTTGAATGGCGGATAACAAAAGAAGGATATCGTTTGTGGGTTTGTTCCTCCTTCTCCTCCTCCTCTTTCTCATCATCATTTTCCTTATTATCCTCCCCTCGCCTCCTCTTTTTTTGTTTGAAAAAACATTACTTCGTCGTTTGCTATTTTGAAGTATGTTTAATCCACTCCCCAGGGAGGCTGAAGTCGTTGTTCATACGTTGACTTTCACACGGCAGTCTCCTTCAAATGCTTCATGTGATTCCTGTTATTCTGCCCTTTCGTTCCCGCGGCGCCCGCCCCTCCCCCCCAGGTCGAGACCGTGGAAAAAACATGGAAGACATGATGCTAATAGGGGAAAGCCCCACTCACAATCTTTTAAGGGCTATTGGGCTACGGGGCTATCGGGCTACAGGGCTATGGGTCTATAGGGCTATTGGGCTACAGGGCTGTAGGGCTATGGGGCCATGGGGCTCTGGGGCCATGGTGCTATAGATCTATAAGGCCATAGATCTATAAGTCTATATGGCTATGGGCCTATAGGGCTGGGCTGCCGGACCATAGCGCTATAGGGCTATAGGGCAAAACAGCGATGGGGCTATAGGGTTATCAGGCTATGGGGCTATAGGGTTGTCAGGTTCTAGGGCGATAGGGCTATAGGGCGACTGGGCTATAGGGCTATGGGGCTATATGGTTATAGGGCTATGGGGCTATGGGGCTATAGTGCAGTGCTACAGAGCTATAAGCCTATATGGCAGTAGGGCGATAGGGCCATAGGGATATGGGGCTATTGGGTATTTTCCTATAGGGCGATCGGGCTATAGAACTCTGGGGCTATAGAGCTAAGAGGATCTGGGGCTATATGGTTATAGGGATATGGGACTATGGGCTATATGGGGTATAGGGCTATAAAGCTACAGGGCTATACGGCTACGAGGCTATAGGGCTACAGGGCTGCGGGGCTGTATGGCTATAGGGCTATGGGGCTATAGGGCACCCGGGCACCCGGGCGAGCCGCGGAGATCGGCGGCAAATCTCACCTAACCATATTAATCCGCTAGGACCCCTACAGAGGCAAACTCGGGTTTGGGATCATGCAAAGCAGCTGCCCCTGTAATGGGATATTATGAAAAGAATCAGCCTCCAAGGGCGGGGAGAAAACACAAAGAAACACATGAACCTTTTCCCTCATATTACGGAGAACTCCCTGTCGTGGAGGCGCCCCAAGAGGGATTCCGTTTGTGGCAAGTGTCCATATGATTGATCTGGTGGCGGATAACAAAAGGATTTCTTTTGCGGGTTCCTTCCCCTCCTCCTCCTCTTTGACAGCAAGCGACAAGAACATGCCGTACAAGAAGGAGGACACGAGGAGCAAGAAGCGAGACACCTCCTTCATGCTCTGGCGCAACCCGCAAGCGTTCAGGCGAAATTGCGAAAACCGGGCCCACGAAGCCGAGCGACAGCGCAATCTCGGCGGCAACTACATTCAACGCGCGCACGCGCTGTACCAGGAAGCACCGATGCCGAGAAACAAAAACGATGCCACCGCAGACGCAATAATCCATAGGCAAGGAAAACGAATGCACCAGAAAGACAGCGATCCAACCAGCACAGAGTGAGATTAGGAGAATAAGCGGCCCTCGCCAGGACCGGGTGGCAGGCCCCGTGGAATCCACAGAAACTGCATGCCCTCCTGCTCGATCACGGTGTCGGGAACGGCTTGCGTCTCGACGAAGATGCCCTCGGGGATGCTCTCTGGCGCCTCATCCTCGCTGGACGTCTCCACGTCGGCCTCCTGCGATCCAGCATCGGCCGCGCTCGCCTCCACCTCATCCGCGTCCTTCGCGGAATACTCCAGCCCACCAGCCTGGTCCCCGTACGCTTCGGACAAGGAACCCGAAGCTGCGACCGAACCCTCGTTGGAAAAGACATGGTGAGGAGAACAGGAGGAGAAGGCGACCGCGCCACAAGTGCACATGACACCCACGACGGGGCCGAGCGGCACCCAGGGGCCAGGAATGAATGCTGGACGATCTGCCTTCAGCACGACGCCCGAGGCTCTAGCTCGACCTTCTCGTGGGAGCCGATTCAGCTCGCTCCGCGAAGCGTCAGCGATGACCTGGGCAGGCGTGCCGAAATCGTGCGATGCCAAATTCCTGCGAGCACGCGCCTCGCCACCGACTGAGGCACCAGCCAAGCCGGCAGCAAGCACCGGCAGGATGAGCTGCACCCGACGCCTGAGCTCCTCCGCGGCGCCGTCGAAGTCCGCGCGACTTGCCTCCAACTCGAGGGCCGCCAGCTGCCCGTGGGCCTCGGCCAACTTGGCCTTCAGCTGCACCACCTCAGCGCGAGCCGAGGACAGACCGAGATCAGCAGCTTCGCAAGCACGCCTCCGCGCGGCAGGGCGCTGCGCCCTCGAGCGACTAAAGACTTCGGAATCACCTGTAGCGGCGACCCCGCCCGTACCGTCTGCAAGGCCACGAGCAGAGAAGCGGCCAGCTCAAGAAGCTCCAGCCGAGGGAAGCATCGCCATGCCAGCTTGAGCAATGGGGCTGTCGCGCCCTGCTGTGCGGCTTGAGCCAGAATAGCTGTGGACCTCCTCCTCCTGCTCCTCCTTCTCCTTCTCCTCCTCCTCCTCTCGCCTCCTCTGGATGTGTTCCGAATTGTTCCTCCACTCCCCTGGGATGCTGAAGTATTTAGCATGTTCTTATTTTGCAGGGCAGGCTATTTCATGTTTACCATGTTTGCTATGCTGATCTTCCCTTTCGATCACGCGGCGCCCGCCCCCCGCCCCAGGACGAGACCTCGGAACAAAGACAGGAAAACAGAACATTCAAAAAACCTGCCCAGCACAGGAAACTTCAGCCTCCGAGGGCGGAGAGAAAAACAAACATAAGAAATTTAACTCTTCCTCCAGGTGTCAGATGACTCCTTGCCGTGACGGCTCCCCCAAGATATTCTTTTTTTTGTGGCGGGTTACAAAAGGACCCCTTCTGTGGCGGATAGCAAAGGATTTCTACAAATCCTTCTGTGGCGGATTACAGAAATATTCCTTTTGCGGCGGGTTGCAGGAGGATTCCTTTTGTGGCGGCTTGCAAAAGTATTCCTGTTGTAGACAAAAGGATTGCCTTTGGGAACGCTTACGGGAGAATCTCTTTGGAGGCGGATTACCTAAGAATTCCTTTTGTGGCGGCTTGCAAAAGGATTTCTTCTGTCAAAGATTACAGCAGGAGTCTGTTCATTAAGGCTTACAGAAGGATTCATTTGTGGCGGGCTACTATCAGAATTATTTCGCTGCGGAATACGAATTAATTGCTTTAGTACCAGAGCACCACCAAAGACTGAGATGTCCGTCCGCCGTCCGCCGTCCATTGTCCTCCTCCGGCCTCCACTCCTCCTCATCCGCCTCATCCTCCTTCTCCTCTTCCTCATCCTCGTCGTGGCCCTCTTCCTCATCCTCATTCCTCACTCCACCTCCTCTTCCTCCGCATTCTCCTCATCCTTCCACTCTTTCCAATCATCACTCCGCACTCCTCACTCCTCACTCCTCCTCCTCCTCAGCCTCGTCATCATCATCAGCATCATCAGCATCAACATCTTCATCATTATCATCTTCATCACCAGCATCATCATAGTCATCATCATCACCACCATCATCAACAGCATCATCCTCATCATCATAGTAATCCTAGTCATCATAGTCATCATCATCAGCAGCATCATCAGCATCATTATCAGCATCAGCATCAGCATCGCCATCCATCAGCATCAGCATCATCATCCTCATCCTGATCCTCATCCTCCCCCCCCCACCCTCCATTTTCCCCTCCTCCACCTCTTCCTCGTCTTCCCTCCTCCCTCCACCCTCCTCCTGCCTGTTTGAAGAGGGGGAAGGAGGGGGACGAGGAGGAGGAGGAGCAGCAGGAGGAGGAGTGAGAGGTGAGGAGGAGGAGGAGGAGGAGAAGGAGGAGGAGAAGGATCAGACGGACGTGAAAGGAGGAGGAGACGGAGGAGGGCAATCCTCCTCCTCCTGATCCTCCTTCTCCTCCTCGTCGTCGTCGTCGTTCTCCTCCTCCTCCTCCTCCTCCTGGGGGGCGATGGGGGGATAACGGCGGGGGAGGGGGGGGGAGGATGGCAGAAGGAGGCAGAGGAGGGGGAGGACGGCGGCCATGGGCAACCTGGGGAGTCTCTTGGGGCCGTTTGGAGGTTTGGTTGGGGGCCTTGAGCTGCCTTGGTGCTCTCTTCGGGCCGTCATGGGGCTCTCTTGGGTATCCTGGACCGTCCTGCGCCCCTGTGTGGGCCCTCTTGGGCCGTCTTGGGCCCCTATGACGGGTCCCTCTTCGCGGCCCTCTTGAGCCGTCTTGGGCATATGGGGCCCGTCGTGGGGCCCGCTTGGGGCTTTTTCTGCAGAAACCTCTTGTGGTTCGATGTTTGATGGGTTGCATGGAAGCTTCCCAGAATTCGGCAGAAAGTATCATAATTCACCCGAATATTTCAGATAGCTGTGCTGCCTGAAGAATTCAAACTAATTTTGGTACTACTGTCAAAATCCAGCGCGCGCAAGCACGCGCCCCGCAGCGTACAACTCAGGGCCGGAGCAACGTTTCAGCCCCGCTTGCGCCTACAACCACAAGATGTATGTAAGACCCCCCTGTTATCTCAGCACCGCACATAACATACTTTACAGGGGGCTGCTTTTAATCTACATTCTAAGGGGGGCTGCTTTAGCCGAACGATAATTTTAGCACCGTGCCAAACAGCCAAACAACCACCCCAACCTTAGTAGTAGTAGTAGTAGTAGTCGTCGTCGTAGGAGTAGTCGTAGTAGAAGTAGCAGTAGCAGTAGTAGTAGTAGTAGTCGTAGTAGTAGTAGTAGTAGTAGTAGTAGTAGTAGTAGTAGTAGTAGTAGTAGTAGTAGTAGTGGTAGTAGTAGTAGTAGTAGTAGTAGTAGTAGTAGTAGTAGTAGTAGTAGTAGTAGTAGTAGTAGTAGTAGTAGTAGTAGTAGTCGTAGTAGTAGTCGTAGTAGTAGTAGTATAGTAGTAGTTAGTAGTAGTAGTAGTTAGTAGTAGTAGTAGTAGTAGTAGTAGTAGTAGTAGTAGTTAGTAGTAGTAGTAGTAGTAAGTAGTAGTAGTAGTGTAGTAGTAGTAGTAGTCGTAGTAGTAGTAGTAGTAGTAGTAGTAGTAGTAGTAGTAGTAGTAGTAGAGTAGTAGTAGTAGTAGTAGTAGTAGTAGTAGTAGTATTAGTAGTAGTAGTAGTATAGTAGTAGTAGTAGTAGTAGTAGTAGTAGTAATAGTAGTAGTAGTCTAGTAGTAGTAGTAGTAGTAGTAGTAGTAGTAGTAGTAGTAGTAGTAGTATGTAGTAGTAGTAGTTAGTAGTAGTAGTATTAGTAGTAGTATAGTAGTAGTCGTAGTAGTAGTAGTAGTAGTAGGAGTAGTAGTAGTAGAAGTAGTAGTAGTAGTGGTAGTGGTAGTAGTAGTAGTAGTAGTCGCCGTAGTAGTAGTAGTAGTAGTAGTAGTAGTAGTAGTAGTAGTAGTAGTAGTAGTAGTAGTAGCAGGAGTAGGAATAATAGTAAAAGTAGTAGTAATAATGCTAGTAGTAGTAGTAGTAGTAGTAGTAGTAGTAGTAGTAGTAGTAGTAGTAGTAGTAGTAGTAGTAGTAGTGGTAGCCGTGCAGCTTGTAGTAGCAGGAGTAATCGTAGTAGCCGTAGAGGTCGTAGAAGTAGTAATAATAGTCGTAGTAGTGCTGATGCGATCAAAGTCGTACTAATGGGAATACGAGTAGGAGTGGTATATAAGACGCTCTGTAAACGTGGTAAGTATAACACAAAGTAACCGAATACATAGCATTCGTTCGTTAGTCTTGCAACGCGGTCGTAGCAATAGTAACGGTATCAAGTAGTAGCATAATACATGACAACAGAACTTTTACTACTAGTAGTAATGGCAGTGACCATCGACTATTCTAATTCTGCGAAGCGGCTGGCTTGAGTCCAGGTCTTCCTTTCTCGTTCTGCCCAACGCCCCCGCCCTATACGATACCTCCTGCAATCCTTACTGAGAAATGGATGTTCGTCGGCTGCCCAAGGTGGTGGTCCATCCCAAGATGACGGCCACGCCCCGCACGGAGTGATATCTTTCGCACCGCGAAGCGGCGAAAATAATTACCCCGGCGTGCACAATGCGGGGCAGGAGTAGCCTGGGAGAGTTGACGACATGGACGCATATACGTCTGGGAGCGGCATTCGGAAGGTTCCCAGGTCACGATGAGTAACTAAGTGAAGCCCTGAGTCACTAAGGAAGACGCAAGGTCCAAAAGGAGACGGTGGGCAAGGGGCTTGAAACGTCGGCGGGGCAGCAACAACATGAAATGCCCCCCCAAGGACGGCGAGGCCCCGCTCAGGTCTGCGCAGTGCTTCACTCCGCTGGACCCACCAGCAGCCTTCGAAAGTGGCGAGCCAACCAGCAACCCTCGAAAACTGTGCAAATTCCCCAGATCGCAGCCCCCCAAGGACGGCGAACTACCGCTCAGATCCGCGCGGTTCCTCACTCGGCTGGACCCACCGGCAGCCCTCGAAAGAGCCGACAATTTCGCAGATCGCAGCCCCCCAAGGACGGCGAGCTACCGCTCAGATCTGCGCGGTGCCTCACTCCGCTGGACCCACCAGCGGCCCTCGAAAGTGGCGACAGCTTTACAGATCGCAGCCCCACCCCCCAGGGATGGCGAACTACCGCTCAGATCCGCGCGGTGCCTCACTCCGCTGGACCCACCAGCAGCCCTCGAAAGTGGCGACATCTTCGCAAGTCGAAGCCTCCCAGGGACGGCGAGCTACCTCTCAGATCTGCGCGGTGCCCCACCCCGCTGGACCACCAGCAACACTCGAAAGTAGCGTCAATTTCGCAAATCGCAGCCCCCCAGGGACGGCGAGCTACCGCTCAGTTCTGCGCGGTGCCCCACCCCGCTGGACCCACCAGCAGCCCTCGAAAGTGGCGACAGTTTCGAAGATCGCAGCCCCCCAGGGACGGCGAAATACCACTCAGATCTGCGCGGTGCCTCACTCCGCTGGTCCCTACAGCAGCCCTCGAAAATGGCGCCATCTTCGCAGATCGCAGCCCCCCAGGGACGGCGAGCTACCGCTCAGATCCGCGCGGTGCCTCACTCCGCTGGACCCACCCAGCCCTTGAACGTGGCTGCAATTTCGCAGATCGCAGCGCCCCAGGGACGGCGAGCTACCGCTCAGATCCGCGCGGTGTCCCACTCCGCTGGACCCACCAGCAGCCCTCGAAAGTGGCGACAGCTTCGCAGGTCGCAGCCCCCCAGGCAAGGCAAGAGGAGACAAGCAGGAGAGGGGGCGGGAGGCGGGAGGAAGGAAAGACGCGCGAGCAGTGCTCTACTAAAGACGAATACCCGACCAAGGAGGGTTGGAAAACATCGCCCGCCCGCGATTCATTGTAGAAATAATAATCGTGTGACCGTGGAACTAACTAATCGCCACTGTCGTCGTAGTCGTAGTCGTAGTCGTAGTCGTAGTAGTAGTAGTAGTAGTAGTAGTAGTAGTAGTAGTAGTAGTAGTAGTAGTAGTAGTAGTAGTAGTAGTA